ATATGTAGGCTTTAAGTTGAATTTTTAATTTTTTGAAGGTGTAAAAGCATTTATTTTTAATATCAGTTTACTATCCCAAGTTTTCTCGGATAAACAAAAAAAAAGTTAAATATTAGTCTTTGTATGATAGTTTTTGAAACAAGGGACAACACAGTGATAATTGACATTCGGTGCTGGTATCTAGTCTCTTTTCTTACTGGATTACCGCTGGAATCTCTTTCACAGGAGCACAGAGTACACCATCTTGTTGGATTTTTTTTTCCCCCTCAACCTCTTCACAATCACTATCTGAAAAATCATCACTTTCGCTATCTTGCATTATTGCCATTATTTTATTTTTTTCCAACGCATGTATTCTTCTTCATACATTACTAATCCACAAGCCGACATATAGTATACAATAGGGAAACACGTGACCAGTCCCTCCAAAAGAAACGCGCAACCAACAAAATTTGGCCAACTGCCGATCAAAGCTGAATATTTCCTTTCAATTCCTCCAGACCGAGTAAAACCGTGATAAAACAAATCGTACTAACAAATTCTGCTTCACCCGAGTTTTCACGGGATAGTAATTAACTGCAATATATACGAACCCGAGATAACCAGGCAAGCGGTTAAGCAAGCCCCACCAGTAGTGGCCTAATGATTGAATATTGATTATTTGTCATTTGTTCAACCCAGGTAAAAAAGCTGACTGCATGGTTGGTTTTCGTATTTTTCTAGGTTGTGAATATGAGCCAGTTTTCCTTACAAAGAGAATTGTAATTGTCCCCCATGAAGACATCCCTCCCTGTTAGGCAAATAGCTCCCATGTCTTATGCTATTTTCAAATAACAACTAACTTAGTTTAACCTTTGACCACGTGTGCAAACTTTATGACAAATTCAGTTTTTAATGCACATTTTTTGCATATCGAAATGAGATTTCGATATACAAAAAATATGTCATTTCTATTCCTCCTTTCTATCCTTCCCCACATCATGGAATGTGCCAATAGGAAGTTATCTGTTTTTTTTTTTTTTTACTGGGCTTTTGTGCTACGTGGCAGCTTTTTCGTAAAGTTTACGACACACACGTGCTCGTGGGTGAAAATTCAGAAAATATTTTGCAATTTTGTGTTATTAATTGCCGTGTATTATTTTAATTTTAATACATTTGGCTCTGTAAATTTTATATTGCTTTTCATGGCAAAAAATATGTGCAACCAGCTGATTTTGCTCGCATTCTTCGCAGAGTGATAAAACCTGCATTTTAAGCTCATAAATAAACTCCACTGACCTGAGCATTTGAAACATTATTTTTAATTCCAAAAGCTGTAGTTGGGCTTTATCAGCCATAGTGAGTGCAAAATCTCTTTCTCAATCACAGACATAACTGAAAATCTATGCAAACATTAGATCACTAATTTGTAAGCTTATCACATCATTTGGGTTTGTATGTAATTTTTTAAGAGTGCCAAATAGATGTATGAAACAAATAAAATATTATAAAATGATTGAATCATGTAAAGAAATGGAAACTTTACGAAATATAAATAGTGTAATTTTGACAAGTTGAAAGTGAAGGGATTATAAAAATAATATTAATCAAAAATTTAATATTAATTTTGAATTCTACTTTTTGATGTTCAGTTTGCCTTCTTGTCAAAAATTTCAGATTTCGAAACTCTAGTATTTGTTATTAAACAAAACTTCTAATTCAGATTAGATAATATTTTCTTTTCATTCAATTTGGGGAAAATCATATTAGTTATATAAGACTTTAGCTTTTAAAATGCAAATTTAATTCATTTTATTCTTTCACCTTTTTCTCGAAGAAAATAAAATAATCTAATTATTATATATAAAATATTATAAATAATATTTATAGTACTCTCGTATTATAAAATAACATTTATAGAATAAAATAATCTAATTAACAGAAAAGTCTGCCTTCTTTAGAAGTATTTTGCTTTTGATTACCATTTGTAGAATGAATTTTTGCATCAATAATATTACATGCTAATATATATTACTTTAAATAATATTGTAATGAACTTTTGTGACATTCTAAAACTCTGATGATTTAAAATCTTTCTATGAGGGTTGGAAAATTTTAAAAACTTTTACACATAAGCAAAACAAAATACAACACTAATGATTACAATATTTGAATTATTTTGCACCATCAAAAGCACTATTCACAGAATTTTTGTGTTATTTACAAATGAATTTTACATGAAGTAAAATCCAGAAAGGAAATGAAAAACAATCCAATAAATTAAATATCTCAAAGGAATTTTAATACATTGCCATTCTTCCTCTTAGTATTATAACATCTTAAATACGAAAGATCATTGACGAATACAGCAACTGAACTAATGTTGAATCATACTACATAAGTTGCCAAGATGACAACGTTGCTTTCCATGTTTCTCTGCCTCTGTAACTGACAGTCATTTTCAGAAGAGACCAAATATACTCAATGGGGTTTAGATCTGCTCCTTTGCTTGGCCATGGTATGAGCAGAAAGCTTGCTGATCCAACCATTCTTTGTCTTGCATGATGAACTGGAAATTTATCATGCTGAAAATAAAATAGCCTATCAACAAAATAGGTTGTCCAAAACTCCTGGCATCATGATAGCCTTGAATTCTGTGTAGAATTTCAAGTCTGTTAGCAGATTATTTAACCCCACACAGAAATCGAAAATCTGCCACTTTTGCCATATTATGAAAATATAAAGGTTTGGAACATTGACCCCGAGGTCTCCAAACTTTTACATGCCCAGAATAATCAGACCAGATGAAGCTTTCATTGCTGAACAAACTGTTATCCCATTCAGAAATCCCCCAACTGGAAAACTGATTACAAAGTTCATTCTCTCCTGAATACGGAGATCAGTCAAAGCAGGCTGACACACTGAAATCTTACTGAGGAAATTTTTCTCGTGCAGTCTGTTTCACACAATTTGAATGGAAACAAATAGATTTGTTAAATTCTTAAATTATGTAAAAATATTTCATAAATGTCTTCATAATTATAATTTAACTTCCTTTTCAATTGAGGAATTTTTAATGTAATATGGAGAGATTACTATAATGTGATAAGCATTTTTCAGAGACTGACTGCTAAGAGAAAGAGATTGGTAATGTGTTAACAAAACATTGACAGCTATTACATCTTTTAATTAATTAAAAGATATATAAGTTTGTTTAATTGAAACATAATGCTTAGCTGCAGAGCTTCCTGCTAACCCCAGATCAGCAACTATTTTTTTTGTGGTCACCATTGGGTCATGCTAGGATGCTTTTACCTTCGAATATATCAACTTTTCTGGGGTGGCCACTACCTTTCTGTTTATCCATGGAGCTTAGATGATATCTATATTCAAATATCAAAATGTAACTTTCATGTTCTAAGCGAGTATATTATTTAAGTTTTGAAGGAAATTAGTAAAAACATTCTTCAGAGGTGATAAATTATATATTTTTTTTACTTGAATTTAAAATTTTTTTTTAAAGTACTTCAAAGTGGTCTTTTAATTGGTATAAACAATCATTTTACATTTAAGGATTAAGTGTACACAAGGTTAAAAAGCAAATTATGCACTTTTAAGTAGTCATAATATTTAAGTCATTTTCAAAAATAAATGTATGCTCATTGATAACTATGAACATTTTTAATATTTAAGAAGAGTCTGAAATTTTAAAATAAAAACTATATTTTATTTAATAACTGAAACTATATATTTTTTTTAGTTTTAAAACTTCTGATATTTTAAGTATAACAAAAAACTTTTACACCACGCTCCATTTAATATTGTAAAAACTTGAACAGAATATTATCATGTGTTTAAAAATTATCCTTATGTGACAAGATTGTAAAAACGAAGACACAAAAATTTTGAAATTTTTAATTTTAAAAAATAAAACAAAATTAAATTCAGTTTATAAATAAAACTGTCAAATTTTTACATAAAGAGCAAAGCTTGAACTTCTAAGATAATGCACATTTAAATAATATTAATTTATGTATTCACTAACCACTTTATATATTTATTAACTATTTTTGGAGACTCGCTGTACGAGTGTGCACGTCTAATAACGAATCTTGGCCTCTTTGAATCATCTTGCTGTATTTGTTTGGTTCTAATCATAAAACGCTATTCCAGTTTTTGATTTTTGCTTGCACTGACATGTAATGCTTTGATATATATATTCATATTCTGACATTACGCTGAGGAATTGATCCCAATACTGGGATCCCATAATTGGGAATATTTGCAGTTATGAGTACTTCGGTATGTAAATTTTGGGAATAAAAATAGTGATCTAATATTCACTTTAAATTTTATTTTAATTAAGCAATAAAGCTCTTTAATGAATTAAATAAAAAAGCAAACTTAATTGAGTTAAAATATATTTTTTATTTTCTGTCTGCTTATTCTCTTCATGATATTTCCAATAAAATAGATTTATATGATTTGCTTGTTTATTAATATACAAGGTGAGACTGAAAAGTAAAGTGACTCATCCCTCTTTTCGAAAATGAGAACAGCCCGACGACCTGGCACATGCGCATTACGATCTTTGGTATGCAACGTTGAAGTTCAGAGTCATTTGCAAAGTTTCTTGTTTGTTCGTGCAGTCGCTTAAACATAAAAGGTGTTAAAGCATTGCATAACTGAGCAGAAAACGAATCTGAAACTGTTTTAAAATGGGTAAAACTGCTTTGGAATCCTTAGAAATGCTTTGAAGTGTGTATGGCGAAGAAACTTTATCTCGCAAGACAGTATTTCAGTAATTCAAACTTTTCTGTGAAGGTAGTGAAAGCGTGGATGAGCATTTTAGTGGAAGACCGTTAACAAGCAGAACGACGGCAAATAGTGAAAGAGTTAGGAAGTTATTGCTGCAAGATCGCCGTTTGTCTGTTTGAATAACGGTGAATGAATTTAATCTTCCTCGTGAAATTGTCCGAACAATATTAACGCAGGATTTGGGTAAATGGAAACTTTGCACGATGTTTGTCCCTCATTACTTAAGCGGTGAACAAAAGCAGCAGCGATTGGACTCCTGTGGTGACTTCATCAATGCAACAGATAAAGATGACACATTTTTACAGTCAATCGTCAAAGGAGATAAATGTGGTATTTTGTGTATGATTCACAAAATGAAATGCCAAAGCATGGAGTATCGCAGTCCCTCTTCACCGAAATCGAGAAAGTTTCGTTTCGAAAAGTCAAAAGTTAAGACAATGTTGATTACCTTTTTCGATGCACAGGAAATTATCCATAAAGAATACCAAACAGTTAATGGTGAATTTTATTACCATGTTATGAAGCACCTCCTGGCTCGCATTCGTGATGTTCGGCCCCATCTCGCTGCATCAGGCAGGTGGTTCCTGTTGCATGATAATGCACGCCCTCATACTGCAATTTGTGTTAAGACGGTTCCTCGCACAGCAAAAGTATTTACATGTGATGTATGACTGTAAATACAGCAAAAGTATTTACATGTGATGATGACACTGAAGGACAGTGATGTATTTACATGTAAATATATAATACAGTTATTATTATGACATCAGTCACCTTACTTTTTGGTCTCACTTTGTATTATAATCACATTATGATCTACAATTCATTGTTTATCATTATGATTTGTTTAATAAAATAAAAATGTTGTGTTTTACAATTTTAGTTTTTGCATGTTTAATTAATAAATTAACTGACAAATTGTAAATAGATTATTAATTATTTTATGGCAGATCAGATTTTGTTACATCATAATTATTAATAATCGCTTTTCCCAAATTAATATTGTTACGAAATGTCCAGGCATGGTAAGATAGTAATCTCCACACTACCCACAAAGCTTCCCAGCAAAGCAGTTTTTAGAGTCTCTTAGTGTATTGCGGTTAGTGCATTGTCGAGAGAGTGTGTTAAGCTGCGGGAACAACAGAACCGAAGAGTCAGGAGCTCTGTGTGTCATTGAGTGCATCGCGAGTTGTAGTGTGGAGATTCTCGATAGTACGAGGAGTTCCGAGAACAACTAAGCAGAGTCGGGAGCTGTACTCTAGAGCTTTGCCGTGAAGCTGTCTCCACCGTGATAGCCTGATAACTTGGTGACTGTGTGGCTGATCGTATCAGCGTGTTTACAGTAGTTCATCGATGACTGTAAAAACGTGTTTTGGAGTTGTCCTGACAATAATGGCCAATAAAGTGTGTTTCGATCTTTATCAAGTGTCGTCGTTATTCACTCTAAATCCACACGAACTCATACGAACATGAAGGAAGGAAAATAACGTAACAATTGGTGTCAGGGAAAAAAAACTTAACGATATATTAATGATTGCTCATTCACATTTATAGCAAGTTCAGAAATTTAATAGATAAAAAGAAAAATATTTTAAGTTATATAAGTATATACCTATATGAAGCAAAATTAAAAGATTGTGTATGTAAAAATTTTTACATACACTTGCTGTAGCAAATATATAGTATTACAATAGCAAATCGGTCAATCTTATTTCTTTTTATTTGTCCAAAAGGTGCTATTAGTCTCAAAATGCGATTTTAGGTGGTTAGGAGTTTCTCGCTATTTGGAAAAGATACTATTCCTTCATATTTAACCTGTCTGTTATTAATTTAGAAGTCAAACAACAAAAATCAGCATTACATTTGCAAATTTTTCAGGACTAATTTTGAACCATCATCTGAGCGAGGCATGTGGATGAGGCATATGAATGAAGCATGTGGTTCATTTGCACTTTGGCTGCTCAGGATGAGATGATGGTTCGGCAAAATCAACGAAACTTACTGTGAAGGAATATACATTAAATGCAATAAAACATGAGAATTCATAAAATTTCACAAAAACTGTAATATGTATGCAACAAATATTATTAATAATTTTTCATGTTTAGTAAGCTAGATTACAGATGGATTAGGTTTATACTTTATTTTATAAACATTATTTTGCTCACAGGGTTGCCACTCAAACAGGAGAATGAAATTCCCTGACTTTTCCAGGTTTTACAGGTATGTTTCGAGAGAATTCCAGTCTATCCGTGTAATGTACGTTGGCTGTGTTAAGAGGTAAATTAATTATGGTATTACTTGTACTGTGTAGCAAATTCACTTAATTATTCAATAAATCCCAGAGGACATTTATTCTTAATTATTCTTGGTACACTTTGTTTGATAATTTTGTTTACTTTTCTATTTAAAAAAACTTAATAAAATTTAAGATATGTACATTGGATAACAACTGTACGTTTTATTTAATTATTACTCATGATCATCCCCAGTTCAACACGAGGCTAATCATCCGGTTCTTATAAATCACAACGCAATGCTAAAAGTTAGGTTAGATTTTAGGTAAATTTAATTTGTGTGAGGTGTATCTTAAAAAGGCACCTTAACACTTGAAAACACAAATATAATAGGAGTTGTTTTCTCCACTGAAGATTGAGATTAGAATCTGCCCAATCTGGAATAAAATAAGGCTTTTTTTGCAGACACTCTGCAGCTAAACGAAAGAAAAAAATCTATTTAATGATATTTTTTTACTAAATTGAGGTATTTTATATTTATTTCACAGCATACATAAGGAAAAAATATGTGCATTAAATTTCGTGATATCATGATACTGCTAGAATTAATTTCAGGATTATGCCAGAGAAAATTTTCTGAAATTTGGAAATATTATTTACTAATGATAAATAAATTTAGAGGGAACAAGGCAACATTAATGATATGAATAACATAAAGTAAAGATATTACTTAAAATTTAATTAGAATAATTAACGATATTTTAGCGAATAGTTATATTACATGGTTATCCTAGATGATTGATTACTATTTTTTTTTATTTTAGTGCAAAATGACAAGGTATTATTAAAAAGAAAAAAAAAAAAAAAAAAAAGATTTTGCGGTAAAATCCTAGTATACGATACGCCCTTCGCATGATTTTGAAAACTGTCGCCAAGAACAAAATTACCCATTTACTGCTCATCATCATGTCGCCAAATCCCGCTGTACCATATATGGAGATTTTTCTAACCAAAGAACGTCTATGTAAAAAGCAGAGGGAAAATTTGCCAAGGGATTTGGCGACGGAACCTGGCGGCCAGAATTTCCCTCTTCGCGATGTGTACAGGAAATTGAGAAACATGTGTTAAGGAGAAACGTTCTTTGACAAAAAAGAAAACTACGAAAATCCGTTTTTAAATTATTGCGAAAAATCCAATAAGAAATGTTTTATCAAAGAACGTTTTTTCTCGGATTTTTCGCAATAATTTTAAAAACGGATTTTCGTAGATTTCCCCCCCCCTCAAAATAACTAATCCATGAATTAATTTATTTGCGCTAAAAAATATTTTCTTTTCCTTTAGAGTTTAAAGAAATTTTAAACGATATTCATTTTATGAACTCTTGATAACATGACCTTCGAACTTCGACACCAGTTTCGAGCTTTGGCGACAGATATATCACGCATGCACAGCTGTTTCCCGCTATGATGGAACGGAGCCACGTTTTTTGCAGAGAAGTTTTCCTTCTTTACGATACATATTTTTTGATTCTAACCTTCATGGTACCGTATACTAGGATTAAACCCATTTTGTTTTATACGAGAACAGATACTTTCTTTAGTTCATTCACTGCACGTGCGATTCTCGAGGTTACTGGAAACCAAAAGTTGCGGAAAACTTGCTTTGCCTTTCTAAAAAGACAATCAAATTGGAGTTGCGAAAATTGGCTCTATGCCAGCTGCCCGAATGACACTCACATGATACACAATTCGCCAAAAAAGTGACCTCTTCCGACGTCGGAACAAAACTCACCTTTTTTAGCGGGATTGTTGTATGAAATTCCCTGACTTTTCCAGATTTCGACTGAAACACTTAAATTCCCTGACTTTTCCCTGAATTTTTTGGTCAATTTCCGAATTCCCTGACTTTTTCCGGTTTTCCAGGTAGCGTGGCAACCCTGTGCTCAGGCACTTTTGTTAAATTATCTTAAGTAGAATTGAAATACTCCTATTTAATGTATTTTTAGTTAATATCTAATAAAAAGAATCCAGTTTTTAAAAATTTTATTTCAGATATAACATTTGTCATTTGATTTAATAATTAACTATACACAATGCTTATGCTATACATTTCAGTCTTTCACAATGCAAGACTAATGTACTTATTATTACTTCTTACACCTCAGATAAATTAATAATGTTTTTCAATTCATGAAGAATTCAGGTATGGAGGCTTCATACCAAAAAGTTCAGAAGTTCTCTTAATATCATCTATGTATTCAGTCCCAGCATTTCTTTTCCCGGTAACAGGGTCATAAAAGTAGCCTAATTTGTATACCACACTCTCCACTGCATGTGTTATATTTTTATCATCAGATTCTGCTAGTTCCTGAAATATCAATGGAAGTTAAAAGCTAGCAAAAATTATTATAAACTATTAAACAATATATTCAATATTTTGGATAAAATATCAAGTCACAGAACATTTACAAACAGACTAAGTTATCTTACAAACATGCTAATTTCACATGTATCATACATTTATATCATACATCATATGCTTAATAGAAAATAAAATTTTAAAAACAATCTCGAAAGTTAAAAAGTTGTATAAATGTTCACTATATCAAAACAATACATGTATTTCTCAAATCATTGACTTTATAAATTAAATTAAATAGCATTTATGTAAATAGTATCTCTACATTAAACAAGTTCATGAAAAATACTTGTAGGACCATTCTCTTTGAAGTATAAAAAAATTACTGCCTAAGCAGTCATCTTTAAAGCACACTTATTTCAGTACTCTTGACATTTATCTGGAGAGCACTGGGAGATTGACCTTTTCCATCATAAATTGATTATTAGATTGTTTAGATAGGCTCAACCATTTGACAGATGAGACAGTTGTGACATGATAATAATCTGTTTCTGATCAAAGGAGCAGAAGCATTTTTAAGCACCATCTGTTCAGACTATGACAAAGTGCTAAATGGTTGAAAGTTGCCTTTATAACACTTGTGCTGGATGATGTCACTTCATATATTTTTTCTACTGCCAGTTTCCATTAACAGTCCATTTAATACACATGACATAATATTTCCATGAATTTTTCAAATGAAGGAATATATACAATTCAGTTGGAGGCTTCTGAAACTAACCAGCAATAGCCCTCAACTCAAATTTCGGTACATTTCCATTTTGAGGACTGTAAAAAATCTCCAAACTATTGTTGATGCCAATGCTGCCAAAAATAAATGGCAACCCTAACACAAGAAAGGAAGCATAATAGTAAATAACTATCTAAGATTACTGTTTTAATTTAGATGAAAAGTTAATTTCATATAATAATTTTTTTTATTATTATAATTTATATTAAAAAAGGCTAAACATAACTGAATGGAAGCATAATAGTAAGTAACTATTTTAGATGAAAGGTTAATTTCATATAATACAATTTTTTGTTATTTTATAAAAAAAGGGGGGGCTAAATATACCTGAAATTAAATGAGAGATTTTTTTTTTAGAAATTTTTAAACCAGAAATTTTTTTACGTCTTCCAGCATAGCAGAGAATTTTTTTTTTTTTTTTGGTGCAAACATCTGTATATAAATTCGGACAAATAAGAATCAAAATGCTGTCAAGGTAGGTGGAGTGCTACGATAGCGTTTATTACACCATTTAGCACTGCCTCACAGCCGTTCTACTGTTTGTATTATGACACCCACTTTCGGGGTCCTCAAAAATTGTAGTTGTGGTTGACAGTAAAGTGTCCAAAACCGGCATCTCGCAGTTCATCCGACTTGTATGATTTCCAGCAGTCAGTATAAATAACACTTCCTTCTGCAATATTTTCCTGTATGATGTTCAATAAGGTTTTCACCGATCGATCTGGAACAGCGACTAAGAAACATTCATTTGATTCTCTGCATAATCCGCTGAAAACTCATGGTGGTGGAAGAACACGTCCAACGTTATTCTTTCTTTTTACCGAAAAGGCTTTCGTCTATTTCAATATTTTTGCCATAACTGCCGATTTATAACTCAGGCTGAGCAATTAAAGTTGCAGTACACACCTCACACATGTAACTGTTCCAGTCTACTACTGTATTGTGGTTCATTTTCAGTTGAAGATCACAAATTTCAATACATATCATTTCCTGACACCAAAAATAGATGAAACTTATGACTTGTAAAGAAGGGGATTTTTGATCCTTCAAACCAATTTTGACTTTTTAATCCTTTCTTCTCATTTCCAGTTTCTCTCCTCCACTGCCATTTCGCTACTGAGTTATCGCTAAAGCATAATTTCATCTCATTGTTATCCAAACATAATTTTCTATGATGAATGATGCCTTTTCTTTAAAAAAATTCTACTGCAGACTTTTCGTTACTGGGCAATTCCCAAACTGTTAAATCCATAGCATCATAAAGAATTAAAAAATGAAACTAGTATTTCAATGGCGACTTACAAATATAGAACTATTTAAACTTACGCAATTTGAAATCAGTGCATTCGCTAGATTTTGCATGCTGTTAAATGGTTGTGTTTCACAGATTTGGCACTTTTGCGCATACATTTTACCTGCAATTCTTTTACGGTCCCCAAAACGGAATTGTACCTAAATAATTTTTTATGATCTTTCATTTCTTATTTTTCCTCCTAGTTCCTACAACTGCTTTCAAAAGAAGATAATAACATTCTTTCATTAGTTTGTGAATACACTCCTCTTTCCAGCCTCTCATGAACTTCTTTGACTGCAAATTACTGATTGCCACACCTCCCTGATTACTGTTTACACCTTCTACAAATTTTTGTTTTCACGTCTAGCGCTGGCTGCCTTAGAAGATGTTGGATTTTCAGGAAACTCCTTTGTGTTCTTTTTATTTGCTACTTCACTCCTTAATTGCTTACTGTATTTCCTGTACTCACTGTATGAAATACTGTAATTGTTCTACCAAACTTCACTCTGGAGAAATATATCTTTGTCTAGATGACTTCATGCCCTGGGAAAATGGCTTTTGCCTTTCTCCTCTCTTCCACACCATCATGTTAGCCATTATTCTACATTAAGTTCTGCTGATGCAATTCTATACAGGAGCGGCATCTGCTTAAGCACCTGACATGTAACTCAGTTCACCTGAGTCATTATTTTAGTATCAGTGCATGCCACAGAGACATCCAGAGTTTTAATATAGAATTTAAAAAAAAAAAAAAAAAAATTGTAATCCTGTCAGAAACCAAACCCAGGTAGTCAGATAAGTGGATAAAGCTTTCTCTGAATTCTTATGGTATATGCTGATACCATATATATCATACATGCCAGTATTTCTCTGAATTCTTATGGTATATAAAGTGCATAAATTACATGGAAATAAATGCTTTTAATTCTGTTCCATCCCCAGCTACAGTGCAACTTATGCAGAAAGAGAACCCAACTGATCAATTATTATCATCTATCGCTTAATAAAACTTAATGACCAAATATTATCATCTATCACTTAAACTTGCATCATTACGGAAAATAAGTTTTCTGAAGAATTTATTTATTATTTTTTTTTCCAAAAATTAACTGTTCCTCTGAGAATTAAACCTAGGTCTTTAGACTCCTGAACTAATATGGTCATTGCACTACAAGAACACCAAAGGATTGCCCATCAAGCATTCAATGAAATTACACACATTGAAGGGTTGCCTTTGATTTTTAACAATTTTACCCTGAAATTCTTCTGGTTTTCTGTTTGTATTCATCAGAAGACTCAAACCATACACAAATACATTTACTGAACTATAAAATCAGCATTATCAATTATTTCTAACTCCTTAAAGAAATTCAACGATTTTTATCTTTATCTGATTGCCATCAAAACTGATGGCGTTTTATTCAAAATCTATACAGGAAAAAACAGTACGATATGCAACAATTAAACTTTGCTGGAGAGATTTAGTCAGCTAACTCTGGTATAGTGACTTCCTTTATTAACAAATTGGATAATATCATTCAATAAAATAAACTGGATGCACAACAAATTTATAGCTGTGAGGAAATGGGTCTGAATTTTAAATTGTTGCTCAGAAAGACACTAGCATCAAAACAAGAAGAATCAGCTCCAGACTTTTCAAAGAAAGAAAAGAAAGAGTGACAGTTTTTATATCTTTTATCAACTGGGTTTCTAAATGGCCTGCAATAGTTTCAGTTTTCCTTGTAACAGTTCTACACTGGTGTGCAAAAATTAAGGACGAAGTCGAAAAAATTAGCATATCAGCTGAACGAAGAGGCAGAGTGGACAGAAAGACCAATCAGGAGATTAAGTAAGGTGATGTACGGTAGCACATGCGCAGATATGCAGGTAGACATAATGGGGGAGTGTCTGAGTAGTATAAAGCATGTTGTCGGTGTAAGATCAGTATTTCTGGCAAAGAGATTGCACGCCGTATAGCAGTTAAAATCACACCGAGTTGCTGCCTCAGCGAGAAATGGCGAATAATCAATCTGTTAGACGACATCTGGATGCTTTACCCGAGGTCGAATCATTGGGAAATTGGAGGAAGGCCGCAGTGCGACAAGTGTGGCTGCAGAGTTCGGAATTTCTCACAGCATCATTTCACGACTTTGGAAACAATTTAGAACTACAGGAACAGCTATCCGGGGGTATAACAGTGGTCGTCCACGAGGAACCACACCCGCAGATGACCGGTATATTGCCTTACGGGCCAAAAGAAACAGGCGGCAGACAGCGGGAGAAATCGCTAGACACATGACACAGGCGACTGGACGACCGATATCGCGTTTTACCGTCGCCAGAAGACTGCACGGTGGTGGTCTGTTTGCACGACGCCCTGTACGGTGTGTACCTCTAACACCTGCCCATCAGAGAAGGCGTTCTCTATGGTGCCCGGAACACCGGAATTGGAGAGACAATGAATGGGGACAAGTACTCTTTACAGATGAGAGCAGATTCAGTCTGAGTAGCGATTCTCATCGCATACTCATCTGGAGAGAGCGGGGAAGCCGCAATCATCCCTCGAACATCATTGAAAGGGACAGGTATGGAGGTGGCGGTTTCTCGTTTGGGGAGGCATCATGCTTGGTAGTCGTACAGACCTTCACATCTTCGACGCAGGTTCAGTCAACGGGACCCGTTATTGTAACGAGATTCTTCTTCCATATGTGTGTCTTTTTAGGGGCGCTATGGATCCGCAGTTCCTTTTCATGGACGACAATGCACCATGTCATCGCACAGTAGCTTCCGAACAGCTCTTAGAGAGTGAGGATATTGAACGTATGGATTGGCCGGCATGATCTCCGGATCTCAATCCCATCGAGCATGTATGGGATTTTCTAGGCAGACGCTTGGCAGCTCGTACCTTACCACCAGTAACGATTC